GATGCCTCTTAAATGCTTCCAGGGATGAAGTGTTTAGGAGAATTTAGGAGTGATGTTCGCTCAGGGTTTGAGTCCTCAAGTTTGATTTCACTTGCTCATATTCATGTTGCTTAAAATAAGCAGAATTGAAGTGTAGCATTAGAGACAAGGAAGACTTCTGAAGCATCCTGGGTCCTCCTTTTCTGAGGAAATATGCAACTTGTTTTGTTGTAGAGATGAAATTGGCATTAAATGATGGAGTTCATTCTTTGGGAGTTTCCATCTTGCCATGGTCTCTGGGCAGCAGAAGAGGAAAGCTCAGAAGAAGTTTCTTGCCTCTTTCTCAGCCTGATACTACTATAATAAACTAGTGTTTCAACCAGCACAATCCATCCTGGGTCAGACCTCTCAAATAGCATGGAAAGGTCTCTCCTGCCTGGTTTATTAGCCTTCTAGCTAGTTCAGTACCTTTAACTAGATCCAGGCTCCTGGTTTGGGAAGCAAAATAGCCAGGATAGTTCTGCCTTCTTCAGGATTCTCTGGACAAGTTATAACTCTGCATTAGGAAGACACTTGAGAGTCTTTGCCCTTCCCCAAGGATGAGCTACCCAGCAGTTTTTAAATCAAATTCAGTTTGTGTGTGCATTGCTTTTTCTGTTAGAACTCCCACTCAGCTTTGCCTTAGCAGGTTATCTGTTTAAAATTCATTGCTGAGCTCACATCTTCCCAGGGATGAAATTACTTTTGTCATATTTGAAGGCGTATTTCATACTGTTTTCCTCCATCCCAGTGCTTAAAATTCTTCTTGTTTTGTACTCCATAGCTTTTATTTTCTTGTTGTTGTGTTTCAGTTTATATCCATATTTTAAAGGAGTTTTCAGCTGCCTTTTTCCTGTGGTTTCCAAGCAATCAAATGGGCAGATGAGGAAATGAAACTCTGGAATAATGTGACTTCTAGTGTTCATTTTTAAGTGATTGTCCTTTCTCAGGGTGTTCATACAGCTCCACTCATTCAGCCAACACTCTGCAAATTGCCAGCGACTGTCTCAGTTCTCATTCTAGGAGATGTTCTCATTCTAGGCAGTTTTGCATCCTTCAGACAACATATTAAATTCACAAAGATTTGTAATCCCTTTGAAAAACTGAAGGCCTGGAGCACCAGAGCAGACAAGGAGTCAGATTTCCCAGCCTTATCAGGAGGAGACAAAGTTCTATCCTGGCAGAATAACAGCAAACATTAAAACCTGCTGAGAAAATTACACCTTGAATTTTTCAAACTCTTTATGCTTCTGTTTAAATCAATTCATGGCCTTGATTTACTCACCTCTTTCCAAGTTTGTGTGGTGTTGCATCATTCTCTTTTAAAGCAGTATATTGAGGAAAATACCAGCTCCTATTCTCAGTTCTTGTGGATAGTCATGTAAGGCATTAATTGTAGCAGACTCCTTGAAGTGATTGTGGTAACTGGGAAGATCATCCCTTGACTGTGTCTTGGGGTTGTCCTGTGCAGGGACTGGAGTTGAACTTCCCTGATTCTTGTATGTCCTTTCCAACTCAGGATATTTTATGGTTGACAAGGACACTCTGTGAAGCTGCAGAAACTACACATACTCCCAGCTTTGTAAAGACTTTGTCTTGAACACCAAGAGGCAGTAGCTGTTCATGGGCAGGCAGGAAGAGCTTTCATTCAAAAGGAAATGTTGGGGGGTGTAGGCTTAAACCCAAGGAAATGACCACGTACTAATGCCTAGAAAGGATGGACATGTCAGAGACAGGACTCAGAGGGGGATAGTTAATCCTGTTTTGTTCCCAGAATGCTCCAGTTCTCTTCTGGCTTCTGTCACCACTCCTGCATTGACTCCTGCTCTGCCCCAGCCCTGAC